GAGACTGTAGTTATTATTTTGTTGTGTATTTCAGAACAGCTAGCAGAGAATTGGAGTGTTACCAGTACAAAGAAGAGAGAAGTATTTGAAGTGACAGATACCCTAATTACCTGATTTGATTATTATACATTGTGTACATGTATCAAAATATCACATATACCCCAAAAATACATACAACTGTTATACATCAGTTTTTAAAAAAGAAAAAGTTGTTATGTAATGACCATGTGCTGTTGGTAGTACTTTTCTGTTGTTAATAATGAAGACCAGTGACCTAACAGGAATTTTAGGACTTTCACAGTTTAAACCTGTGTGTCATAATGTTTTGAAAGTATCAGTTATACTTTATTATTTTAAGAGAATGCTAGTTGAAGGGAAGATAATCTTATTTGGCCCTCTTGTACTGAGTGACTTGAGCATTTTATTTATTTTTAATTTTTAATTTTTTGAGATGGGGTCTGACTGTTTTGGCCAGGTTAGTCTTGAACTCATGGCCTCAAGCAGTCCTCCTGTCTCAGCATCCTAGTGGGCTGGGATTACAGGCACGAGCCACTGTGCCTGGCTTAGCATTTTATTTATGAAGTGTTTTAACAGGAAAATCAAGATAATTTTTATATACCTATAGACTTGTGAAATAAGAAGGAAGCTCTGAAAATTATGTTGTCTAATTTGTATCCAGTTCAGTTCAGGAAAACTTCAGTAGGCATATGCTAGGTGGGAAGTGCCATGAATTATGTTTCTTTCTGAGCTCATTTAGTAAGGGGCATTAGAGCCTGTTCAGGTTATTTCCATATAAGACAACCTGAAATAGTGTGGTAGAGGTATGAAGTACAGTGGGAAAATGTTAAAACAGTTTATTCTGGGAAGATATTGGGTTTGATAAAGCTTCTTTTAACTTTTTATAATTTCTACTCCCTTGAAACCAAACGCAATCTCCTGGCTACCTTTTAGCCCCTCGGCCGTAGTCTACATCCTGAATAACTGGTTTGATCTTTTATTGTAACTGGGTTCTTACCCTCTTTTCTAGTCAAGCAACTTATGATGTCTGGTATAGGATGGTTACTAAATTCTTATGCAGGAGATTCAACAACAGCTGAGACTTAAAAATAGCCATTAGCAACTCCTTTAATCATTAACATGGACCAAAAATGTAGAGGAGAAAAAGTTTAAATATATGTGGAGAATGGAGAGGAGTATATAGATAACTTCTAAATTTATCATAGAAGCTTTGTTTCCAGTCTATTTATAGGCTTCTATTTTTACTTCCTGAGTTTAGAGAAGTTAGGAGTTGGAAAATTGCAACTCCTTAAGGAAAAAAGAAAAACCATATTCTCTGTCCTGTAGGCCAGTGGTCCCCACCCAACCGTTTTAGCACCAGGGACTGGTTTTGTGGAAGACAATTTTTCCACCAACAGGGGTGGGAGGAGGATGGTTTCTGGTTGATTCAAGTGCATTACATTTATTGTGCACTTTATTTCTATTATTACATTGTAATATATAATGAAATACACAGCTCACCATAATGTAGACACAATGGGAGCCCTGATCTTGTTTTCCTGCAAGTAGACAGTCCCCTTTGGTGGTGATGGGAGACAGTGACAGATCATCAAGCACTGGGTTCTCATAAGAATCGTGCGACCTAGATCCCTCATTTTCGCACCTCACAATAGGATTTGTGCTCCTATGAGAATCTAATGCCGCCGCTGATCTGACAGGAAGTGGGGCTCAGGCAGTAATGGGAGTGATGGGGAGCGGCTGTAAGTACAGATGCAGCTTTGCTTGCTTGCCCACTGCTCACCTCCTGCTATGCAGCCTGGTTCCCAATAGGCTACAAACCGCTACTAGACCTGGGCTGGGGACCCCCGCTGTAGACCTTTTACATGCTTGGAAGACCTTGTCTTGACTAATACTTTGTCCTTTGAATAACTTAAAACTTTTCTAGGAAGTCATTCCTGTAATTTTTCAATGGATTATTAAATCCTGGGTGTATCCACACTGAATTATGATTGCTTGTTGTATTTGTGTAGACCAGTATTTCTCAACTGGGGCCTCCCAGGGACATTTGGCAATGTCTGGATGCATATTTGGTTTTCACAGTAAAGCGGGTGCTACTGGCATCTCGTGTGAAGAGATCAAGTGCTGCTGCTTTTTAGTTTGTATAAAAGTGAATGTAGTACAGAATATAATACTGGTTGTCCATTTCCCATTATTGTTTACTTTCCATGGTAATACAGATTTTCATGAGTGGCTATTGTCCACTTAATTTTCTACTTGTGACATAGGCCTCTAAAAATGTGTGGATTAAGAATAAAAGAATATTCCTGAATAATAATTTTAGATGCACGTTAGAATGCTTTCAGGGAAAATAAGGGTGATACACTATTGAAGTATCTGAATTCCATGCATTTATTAAAACTCAAAATATATTTGTGTTGGTATGGTGAAGAAGCTTTTTATAGCATTGGTATTACTACTTTAGTTCTATATGAAGTTTTCAAACTATTGCATTATAGTAGAAACAGCCTTTCATTTTATTTTGAGCGTGCTGCATATCTTGTTACTGAGCAAACATATGAGCTGGGTATTTAGGTGTTTGAGAAATTAGGCCAGTTCCTGCTTTCAGAACAGCTCAGAGAGAGGGAAAAATGACATAACTCCATATAGACAGTGCAGTAGTGTATATGGAAAGTACTGGGGAGAGTTGAGGAGGAGAAGGCATTCAAGCTGTTTCAAAACTACCAGCCTAATCATAGGGGATAGGTTTTACAGGTAGAGAAAATAGTTTGCGTAAAAAGTAAAGAGGCATAAAACAGCATGAAATTTGTGAGTCACTGTGCATGCTTATTGTTTACAGTGCTTAAGGAGAAGGGAGTGTTCAGAGATCATTTTCAGAAAAAGGTTAAAACCATGACTCTCATACTGATATAAAACAAAAATGAATGTGACCGGGTGCGGTGGCTCACGCCTGTAATCCCAGCACTTTGGAAGGCTGAGGCAGGCCGATTACTTGAGGTCAGGAGTTCAAGACCCACCTGGCCAATATGTTGAAACCCCATCTCTACTAAAAATACAAAATTTAGCTGGGCATGGTGGTGGACACCTGTAATCCCAGCTACTTGGGAGGCTAAGGCAGGAGAATTGCTTGGTCTTGCCACTACACTCCAGCTTGGGCAATAGAATGAAACTCCATTTCAGGGGGAAAAACAAAAAAAGAATGCTAAAAGCATTCAAACACATGTTATAGCAGTTCAAATGTAAACTTGTAAACAGCACACATTTATATGAAGTAATGGAATGTTGAAATAAGTTGTAAATGGTAGCAAAGTTGTTTTTTTTCCATAAAAGGGGAAAGAAGTCAATGAATTTCTACTAGATAGGATAGAAATTGCATGTTTGTCACTTGCCTACAATTTATAGATTTATGGAATAGCTCCCATGGAATCAATCTGACAGTGAGTAGTTTTCCATTGGAGTGCAGTTTTTTTTTTTTTCTATAGGGAGAGCAGGAAATTGCAAAGCACCTTCCAGTGTTCTACCAAAGAATCTGTACTGTATATAATAGGGAGTCAACAAAGTTTTTGGATTTGGTGAATGAAACGAGGCTGTGTTTTAGATGAAACAGTTGAGGTGGCAGCGTATAGGATTAATTGAATGAGGGAGCAATCAGTGCAGTTAGGCTGTTGCAGTAGCAGTAAGAGGGAAGAGGAGGGACAGATCGAGTGTACGTTAGGAATTAGAATCTTTAAAACTTATTAGGCATAGGCGAGGCGATGAGAAGAGACAAGGCTTCCGGCTTAAGCAATTGTAAGAATAGTGGGTCATTTTACTGAGAAAGGGGGCCTGTAAGAGGAAAAGCAGTGTTAGGGGAAAAACAAAGAGTGTTTGGACATTTGCCTTTTGAGATGATACAGCATACCAAGGTGGAAATGTTCCTTATGCAGTTATAAGCCATAGGTTTGGAACTAAGAAGGATTGTGGGCTAAAGATTTCAGTCTGGAATCATCATTTAAATCGGAATTTATATTAGAATAAGTAACATCAACCAGTTGCCTAGGGAGAAAATACAGAGAAGAGGAAAAAGACCAAGAACCCTGGGAACATCTCTATTTGTATGGTCCTAAAGAACAATTAGGGTGTATATCTCAGGGGCATTATAATATGGTTGTCAGTCTTTTAATTCTTAATAACAACAGCTTTTCAGCTTTAATTTTATCTTTCATTGGCATCTGAAACCATATTTTTTCTTAGGTTGTGGTCTGTTTGTAGACTAGCAGGAGAACTTTGAATAAAAAATTCTTATTTGTGTGTCATTTTAGCGATATACTCCCTCATTTTAGATTTCAAGTTGAGAAAGACTTGGTTTGGAGCTATGCACTAGAGTGAAAAGTGAGATCACCAGTGGACAGAGAAGAAAGAGGAACTCACCCGTAGGTGTCTTACAATACTGTCTTTAAAGCATTGTGGATTTCTCTAATTACGTCTCGTACCAAATGCATTTCGGACTCATTGAGGGCTAAGGGCTGAGGGCTATGCTGCTTTACTCTGCTATTTAGGATTATTGTATAGCTAAGTTTGAATGGATTCTACTGTTTAGTAATTGAGGGGAAGAGAAGCCTACATTATTTGTGTTCCCATTTTACCTTTCTTCACAATTTCATGGTTAATGTATCATTTCCTCTGTGTTGAAGGAATATACTGACCCTATTTTTTCCTCGGAGTTTTTTCTTCGAGTTCATTTTGACGTAGAAACTCGCCTCCCTCACCACTATCACCACCATGTAGGAAGGAAGTACAGTTTTAGGTTATTAAATCTACTTATTTAGTTTTTTAAAAATGTATATATATAGATGTATTCTAAACTATAAAATCTGTTTAGAGGATTTTGTGGTTAAAATTTGTTTGAAAAAGCTTTTTAAACTGGCATTTTTATATTTAATAGCATTTGCAGTTTTAAATTCAGAGAAACATTGAAAAATTTTACTTTCGTTTTTTCTTTTTAGATCATCCAATTATGATGGGTTTCGAACCCCTTGTGAACCAGAGGCTACTTCCACCTACCTTCCCTCGATATGCAAAAATAATTAAAAGAGAAGAAATGGTCAGCTATTTTGCAAGATTAATAGATAGAATAAAAACTGTCTGTGAGGTTGTGAATTTAACAAATTTACATTGTATCCTGGTAAGTACAAATCTCTGTTCCTGAATATAACTTCCATTTAAAAAAATGGATACATAATAATTGTACATATTTATGGGATAGCTTTGGTTTAACAACAGAATAGTTGATCACTTTATAGACACTGACCAAGGGTAAATACTACTCTTTGTCTATTTTCTGTGATAGCTAGAGGATTAACCTATAGAGGTTCATAAATATTATACATACATACATTCTATTTAATCCTCAAAGGTTTTACACTATTTTAGAGATTAAGAAGCTGACATTGAAAGGTTAGATAATTCATCCAAGATTTGTTTTGAGACAGGATCTCACTCTGTTGTCTAGGCTGGAGCGCAGTGGTGTAATCTTGGCTCAAAGTGATCTTGAACCCTTTTTTTCTTTTTTTTCTTTTTTTTTTTTTTTTGTGGAGATGGAGGACTTGATCTGTCACATAGGTGACAGTGCAGTGGCACGATCTCAGCTCACTACAGCCTTGACCTTCTTGGCTCAAGCGATCCTTCTGCTTCTCAGCCTCCCAAGAAGCTGGGACCACAGGCGTGTGCCACCACGCCCAACAATATTTTAGTTTAATCATTATTTTTGTAGAGATGGGGTCTCACTGTGTTACCCAGGCTGGTCTTGAACTCCTGGGTTCAAGCAGTCCTCCCACTTCTGCCTCCCAAAATGCTGGGTATGCAGGTGAAAGCTACCGTGCTCTGCCAACCTTGAACTCTTGAGGTCAGGTGATCCTCCCACTTCAGCCTCCCAAGGAGCTGGGAGAGACACATACCACTAGAGCTGGCTAAATTTTTTTTTTTTTTTTTGGAGATGGAGTTTCCCTCTGTTGCCCAGGCTGGAGTGCAGTGGTGTGATCTCCGCTCCCTGCAACCTCTGCCTCCCAGACTCAAGCTGTCATTCCACATCAGCCTCCCAAGTAGCTGGGGCTGCAAGCATGTGCCACCATGCATGGCTAATTTTTTGTATTTTTGGTAGAGATAGGGTTTCACCATTTGCCCAGGCTGGTCTCTGACTCCTGAGCGCAAGTGATCTACCTGCTTCAGCCTCCCAAAGTGCTAGGATTACAGGTGTGAGTCACTGCACCCAGTCAACTTTTAAATTTTTATTTATTGTGGAGACAAGGTCTCACCATGCTGCCCAGGCTGGTCTCAAACTCTTGGACTCAAGCAGTCCTTCCATCTTGGGCTCCCAAAGTGCCAGGATTATAGGCATGGGCCAGTGCACTTGGCCTCACCTTAGTTTTAAGAGTGGGGATTGAACTCTAGATTCTGTCTTCAAAACATGTAAATGTGTATATGTATGCTGGTATACATAAACATATGTATTTAAGTGTGTGTATGTGTGTGTGTGTTTATATATAAATATATATGTATATATGTGTATAATTTTTATATATATATAATTTTTTTTTTGAGATGGAGTCTTGCTCTGTTACCCAGGGTGGAGTGCAGTGGCGCGATCTCGGCTCACTGCAAGCTCCACCTCCCAGGTTCACGCCATACTCCTGCCTCAGCATCCTGAGTAGCTGGGACTACTGGCGCCCGCCACCACGCCCAGCTGATTTTTTGTATTTTTAGTAGAGACGGGGTTTCATCGTGTTAGGCAGGATGGTCTCGATCTGCTGACCTCGTGATCTGCCCGCCTCGGACTCCCAAAGTGCTGGGATTACAGGCATGAGCCACCGTGCCGGTCTTAAGTGTGTATATATATACTTTTACATATAAAAATAGGATCATGGTGTTTAGTAACCTGCTTTTTAAAATTGCTTGTCTCTGTATCATGGACATCTTCCTTTCCATGTCAACAAATGCATGACAAATTCTACATTATTTTAATGGCTGTGTGGTATTCCATTTTAAGCATATATTACAAGTTTTTTCATTTCATTCATGTAAATTACATTTAGGTAATTTTCAGTGTTACAAACAATACTAAGATGAACATATGTATAGGTAAATCTTTTTATTATATGCTTCCTTTCCCCTTAAGATAAATTCCTAAAAAACGAAGCTGCTAGGTGCATTTTTAACTATCATATTTTGGATTAATATTTTTTATGGGTTAAAATATAGAAAAACAGGGCTCATTTTAAGAACATTCAGAGATGGAGCTTTTTTTTTGTTTTTTGTTTTTTTCTCCTGTACCTGCTGACAGCAGAAAAGCTTTTTAATTAGTACGGTTATAGTAGCACATGTAAGGTTAGTAGGAAAGGTAGAAAATGTGCAAGACAGTACTGTTGTTCTTAGGACGTAAGTACACTGACATCTGTGGCATAGCTAGGCATTTGTTACCTTACACGCCAAGGTATGGAATTGCTAGCCCCATGTCATTTCCTCTGTGAAATCTTCCCCTTTGGTTGCTGGTTGCCACTGTACCTGTGTTCCTTGAGATCACACAGTATATAGTTTATACTCCCAGCATTTAGCAGCAGTCTCTGCGAAATAGTTGATAGTAAAGATTTGTGCTTTTGTTTGTGTTCTTTATTTTTCCTTCTATTAATTTTTTTGTCATTAAAACCCAGCTTAAGTCTTCATTCTTTTAATAAACTTTCACTCATTATGCCTTTAATACCTTACGTTGCATTTGCTTTCTTATACTGTGTTATAAGAATCAGAATTTTAAAAGTTCCTAGGAAAAAGATCACAGACAGTTTTACATCTAAACAAACTAAGGTTCAGAGGTTCTAAAGTAACCAAATTAGATGACTATAATAGCATATCTGGAATGAGAATATCTATTTTCTTACTCTTTTCTGCCACATTGACTTTTTTTTATCGTAATTGTTACATGGATATACATTTGTGTTCACTAGATTAATCGCAAGGTCTTTAGGTAAAATCAACCTATAAACCCATATCAACCATAAGGTAATATGTTTTTAATGTATATGGTTGTTTTACCAGTTGTGTCGGTAGGCAAACGGACTTTAAAATATTTTTTTTAGTAAGCAACAGGGCTGACTTGGGTTGTGACAGGCTCCTGATATTGAAGGCTAAGTTGTCTGCCATTATTGTCGGTCCATTTCGCTGAGCCCTCTGAGGAAACCATGGCCCATTGCAGGTACCTTAGGGGGACCCACATTGGTTCTAACCAAGGGTAGGTAGCTAAGGCATTGTCAGTGATCCTTTAGACTTTTCTCAGCAAGCTGCAGGATTTCTTAATAAAGAGTTTGATCACATAGATGCCTGAATAGGCATTTATTCTGGTTTCGGTTTCTGAAGAGCTGCTATCCCAAGCCCAAATAGTTATCATTAACAAATCCAAGTATTAAAATACATACATTACTATTTAACTATAAAATTTGGAAGATGCAGAGAACTGTGAAGATGATAAATAACTGCTGTCCCACCCTTTATAGATGTTAGCATTTCAGTGTATTTTGTCGTCTGGTTTTACATCTACATATAAACCTGTATCTCTTCATTTTTAGATAAATTTCTTTAAAAACAATTTTATGTTTGGGGGTACTTGTGAAGGTTTGTTGCATAAATAAACACGCATCTCAGGGTTTTGTTGTACATATTATTACATCACCCAGGTATTAAGCTCAGTACCCAATACTTACCTTTTCTGCTCTTCTCCCTCCTCCTACCCTCCCCACTCAAGTAGATCCCAGTGTCTGTTGTTTCCTTCTTTGTGTTCATAAGTTCTTACCATTTAGCTCTCACTTGTAAGTGAGAACATGCAGGATTTGGTTTCTCTTCCTGCATTAGTTTGCTAAGGATGATAGCCTTCAGCTGTATCCATGTTCCCACAAAAGACACGATCTTGTTCTTTTTTATGGCTGCACAATATTCCATGGTGTATATGTAACACAATTTCTTTCTTTTTTTTTTTTTTTTTTTTTTTTGAGACAGAGTTTTGCTCTTGTTGCTGAGGCTGGAGTGCAATGGCATGATCTCGGCTCACTGCAACCTCTGCCTCCTGGGTTCAAGCGATTCTCCTGCCTCAGCCTCCCACGTAGCTGGGATTTAGCTGGGATTACAGGTGTGCCCCACCATGCCTGGCTAATTTTTGTGTTTTTAGTAGAGACAGGGTTTCATCATGTTGGCCAGGTTGGTCTCGAACTCCTGACCTCAGGTGATTGGCCTGCTTCGGACTCCCAAAGTGCTGGAATTATAGGTGAGAGCCACTGCTCCTGACCATACCACAATTTTTGTATCCAGTCTGTCATTGATGGGCATTTAGGTTGATTCCATGTCTTTGCTATTGTGAACAGTGCTGCAGTAAACATTCGTGTGCATGTGTCTTTGTGGTAGAATGCTTTGTATTCCTGTGGGTACATACCTAGTAATGGGACCACTGGGTCAAATGGCGGTTCTGCTTTTAGCTCTTTGAGGAATTGCCATACTGCTTTCCACAATGGCTGGACTAATTTATACTCCTACCAACAGTGTAGAAGAGTTCCCTTTTCTTTCCAACCTCACCAGCATCTGTTACTTTTTGACTTTTCAGTTGCCATTCTGACTGCTGTGAGGTGGTATCTCGTGGTTTTGATTTGCATTTCTCTAATGATGAGTGATATTGAACTTTTTTTCATATGCATGTTGGCTGCACGTATGTCTTCTTTTGAGAAGTATCTATTCATGTCCTTTGTCCACTTTTTAATGGGGTTGTTTTTCTCTTGTAAGTTTAAGTTCCATATAGATGCTGGATATTAGACCTTTGTCAGATGCATAGTTTGCAGATATTTTCTCCCATTCTGTAGGTTGTCTGTTTACAGTTTCGTTTGCTCTGCAGAAGCTCTTAAGTTTAATTGGAACCCGTTTGTCAGTTTTTGCTTTTGTTGTGATTACTTTTGGTGTCTTTCTCATGAAATCTTTGCCTGTTCCTTGGACCGGGGTGATATTGCCTAAGTTTCCTTCCAGGATTTTTATAGTGTTGGGTTTTACATTTAAGTATTTAATGTAAAAAATAATAATTAAAAAAAATACTTGAGTTGATTTTGTATATGATGTAAGGGCTCCAGCTTCAGTCTTCTGCGTTATGGCTCAGTTATTCTAGCACCATTTATTGAGTAGGGAGTTTTTTCCCTATTGCTTGTTTTTGTCAACTTTGTCAAAGATCAGATGGTTGTAGATTAGTGGCCTTATTTCTGGGCTCTCTATTCTGTTCCATTGGTCTATGTGTCTGTTTTTGTACCAGCCAGTACCATGCTGTTTTGGTCATTGTAACCTTATAGCATAGTTTGAAGACAGGTAATGTGATTCTTCCAGCTTTGTTCCTTTTGCTTATGAATGCCTTGACTATTCAGGCTCTTTTTTGGTTCCATATACATTTTAAAATAATTTTTTCTAGTTCTATGAAGAATGTCATTGGTAGTTTGATAGGAATAACATTGAATCTGTAAATTGCTTTGGGCAGTATAGCCATTTTAATTATATTGATTCTTCCTGTCCATGAGTGTGGGATGTTTTTCCATTTGTTTGTGTCTCCTCTGATTTCTTTGAGCAGTGTTTTGTAATTCTCATTGTAGAGATTTTTTTACCTCCCTGGTTTGCTGTATTCCTAGGGGTGTGTGTGTGTGTGTTTTTTTGTTTGTTTTTTTGTGGCAGTTGTGAATGGGATTGTCTTTCTGATTTGGCTGTCAGTTTTGTTGTTGGTGGTGTATCAGAATGCTAGGGAATTTCGTACATTAATTTTATATCCTGCAACTTTGCTGGTTATTCATCAGCTGAAGGAGCTTTGAGGCCAAGACTGGGGTATTTAGATAAAGAATGTTATCTGCAGATAGAGATAGTTTAACTTCCTCTCTTCCTATTTGGATGCCCTTTATTTCTTACTCTTGCCTGATTGCTCTGGCTAGGACTTCTAATAATATGTTGAATAGAAGTGGTGAGAGAAGGCATTCTTGTCTTGTGCCGATTTTCAAGGAGAATGCTTCCAGCTTTTGCCCATTCTGTATAATGTTGGTTGTGGGTTTGGCATAGATGACTCTTATTGTTTTGAGGTGTGGTCCTTCAATACCTAGTTTATTGAGAGTGTAACATGAAGGGGTATTAAGTTTTATCAAAAGGCTTTTCTGCATCTATTGAGATAATCATGTGATTTTTGTCGTTAGTTCTGTTTATGTGATGAATCACATTTATTGATTTTTTGTATGTTGAACCAACCTTGCCTCCCAGGGATGAAGCCTACTTGATCGTGGTCAATTAGTTTTTTGAAGTGCTGCTGGATTCAATTTGCAAGTACTTTGTTGAGGATTTTTGCATCAATGTTCATCAAAGATACTGGCCTGAAGTCTTCTTTTTTTGTTGGGTGTCTGCCAGGTTTTGGTGTCAAGATGATGCCAGCCTCATAGAAGGAGTTGGAGAGAAGTCCCTCCTCAGTTTTTTGCAATAGTTTCTGTAGGAACGGTACCAGCTCTTCTTTGTACATCTGGTAGAAATCACCTGTGAATCCGTCAGGTCCTGGCCTTTTTTTTTTTTGGTTGGTAGGTTATTTATTACTCATTCCATTTTGAAGCTTATTACTGGTCTGTTCAGGGAATCAATTTCTTCCTGGCTCAGTCTTGGGAGGGTGTTTATATCCAGGAATTTATCCATCTCTTCTAGGTTTTCTAGTTTGTGTGTGTGGAGATGTTCATAGTAGTTTCTGATGGTTGTTTTTATTTCTTTAGGGTCAGTGGTAGTATTCCCTTCATCATTTCTAATTATGTTTATTTGGATCTTCTCCCATTTCTTCTTAATTAGTCTAGCTAGTAGCCTGTTTTATTAATTTTTTTCAAAAAACTAATTGCAGGATTTGTTGATCTTTTGAATGGGTTTTCGTGTCTTGATTTCCCTCATTTTAGCTCTGATTTTTGTTAGTCCTTGTCTTCTGCTAGCTTGGGGATTTTTTGTTCTTGGTTTCTCTGATTCTTTGAGTTGTGAAGTTAGGTTGTTTGAGATCTTTCTAACTTATTGATGTGGACAATACATGCTATGAATTTCCTTCTTAACACGGCCTTAGCTGTATCCTAGAGATTCTGGTATGTTGTATCTTTGTTCTGATTGTTTTCAAAGAACTTCTTGATTTCTGCCTTGATTTCATTATTTACCCAAAAGGCATTCAGGGGCGTGTTGTTTAACTGACATGTAATTGCATGGTTTTGAGTGATTTTCATTGTGTTGACTTCTATTTTTATTACGCTGTGGTCCAAGAGTATGTTTGGTATGACTTCAGTTCTTTTACATTTGTTGAGTATTGTTTTATGTCCAATTATGTGGTCAGTTTTAGAGTATGTGCCATGTGGTGATGTGAAGGATGTATATTCTGTTGTTTTGAGTGGCGACTTCTGTAAAGGTCTATCAAATCCATTTGGTCCAGTGCTGAGTTTAGGTCCTGAATATCTTTGTTAATTTTTTGTCTAGATGATCCATCTAATACTGTCATTGGAGTGTTGAAGTCTCCCACTGTTATGGTGTGGGAGTTGTGTCTCTTTGTAGGTCTTTAAGAACTTGCTTTAGGAATCTGAGTGCATATATATTTAGGATAGTTAGGTTTTCTTGTTGAATTGAACCCTTTACCCTTATGTAATACCCTTCCTTGTCTTTTTTGATCTTTGTTGGTGTGAAATCTGTTTTGTCTGAAATTAGGATCGCAACCCCTGCTTTTTTCTGTTTTCCATTTGCTTGGAAGATTTTCCTCCATCCCTTTATTTTGAGCCTATGAGTGTCATTATGTGTGAGATGAGTCTCTTGAAGATAGCACATCAGTAGATCTTGCTTTTTTATCCAGCTGTCACTCTGTTTTTCAAGTGGGCCATTTAGCCCGTTTACATTCGGGTTAGTATGGTGTGGATTTGATCCTGTCATTATGGTGTTAGCTGGTTATTGTGTTGGCTTGTTTTTGTGGTTACATTATAGTGACTCTAATCTGTGTGTTTAAGTGTGTTTTTGTATTAGCTGGTATTAGTCTTGCATTTCTATATTTAGTGCTCCTTTCAAGATCCTCTTGTGAGGTAGGACTGGTGGTAATGAAGTCCCTCAACCTTTGCTCATCTGAAAAGGATCTTATTTCTCCTTCACTTAGGAAGGTTAGTTTGGTGGAATATGAAATTCTTGGTTGAAGATTTTTAAAAGAATGTTGAATATAGGCCCCCAATCTCTTCTTGTAGGGTTTCATCTGAGAGGTCTCCTTTTAGCCTGATGGAGATCCCTCTTTAGGTTACCTGCCCTTTCTTTGTAGCTGCCTTTAACATTTGTTTCATTTCGACTTTGGAAAACCTAAGGATTGTATGCTTTGGGAATGATCTGCTTGTGTAGAATCTTGCAGGACTTTTCTGTATTTCCTGAATTTGAATGTTGGCTTTTCTAGCAAGGTTGGGGAAGTTTTCACGGACAATACTCAGAAATATATTTTCCAAGATGTTCGCTTTCTCCCCCCCTCCCTTTCAGGGATGCCAGTGATTCAGAGTTGGCCTCTTTCCGTAATCCCATACTTCTCAGAGGTTTTATTCATTCCTTTTTATTCTTTTTTCTTTATTTTTGTCTGACTGTCTTATTTCAGAGAACCAGTCTTCAAGTTCTGAGATTCTTTCCTCACCTCGGTTTATTTTGCTGTTAATACTTGTGATTGCATAGTGAAATTCTTGTATTTTTCAGCTCTGTCAGACCTTTTAGGTTCTTTTTTATGCCAGCTATTTTATCCTTCTGCTCCTGTATCACTTCATTATGATTCTTATTTTTCTTGGATTGGGTTTTGCCATCCTCCTGAATCTCTATGATCTTTGGTCCTGTCCATATTCTGAATTCTATTTCTGTCATTCCAGCCAGTTCAGCCTGGTTAAGAACTCATTTTGGAGAATTGGTGCAGTCATTTGGAGGACATATGACACTCTGGCCATTTGAGTTACCATAGTTCTTGCATTGGTTCTTTCTCATCTCTGTGTGTGGATGTTCCTGTAACTGCATTGTAGATTGAGTATAGTCAATAGACTTCTTTTCTGGATGTTTTCACTGGGCCAAGGCTTTCTGTAGGGTCTTTATTTGAAGCTGACTTCTTGTCTCCGGTTTCAGAGTGGGGTATGTTAGTGAGGTACTTTTGGTGTTGAAGCTTTGGCATGTGATCCAGCAGGTGACACTTAGGCTTATTTGATCACTTGGTAGACTCTTGCTCAGTAACCCGTATCTTTTGGTCTTTCCCTGTAGTCAGCAACAGTCAGTAATGTGCATCCAGTTGACTTAGTTACTTGGAATTTATTTCTGTGAAAACAGTCAGTAATGTGCATCCAGTTGACTTAGTTACTTGGAATTTATTTCTGTGAAATAGGAACTAAAGTTCTGCCATGACTTAGTAAATTATTGTTGGTATTATTTTTATGGCATACAAATTTAATAGTGGTATCCACATAATTCCATGATTGGTCAGTTTTTTTAAGAAAAGTTTTTAGAGTGTAGAATTATCCATTGTCCCTTTTATACAATTAAACAATTTCTATAGAAATAACCTTTATTTGTCATATTTTAACTCTGGTACTATGTCATTTCCAGAAGGTCTAGTAAAAGTTATACTCTATATGATGAAGTATTTTTAGCTTTTATTTAATCTATTAATGACACTGCTTTTTCTTTATGTATCTATTAGGATTTTTTCTGTGAATTTAGTGAACAGTCACCATGTGTTCTTTCAAGATCTCTGTTACAGGTAAGTTCCACTTAGTCTCAAAATACTTCTTTAAACATTATATGTGTATTGACTTTGTTTTATTGGTTGATTGAACAAAAAGTAGATGCTTTTAAAGAATTTTCCAGTTAGTGTTGTGTATTTTTAAATTGAAGTATTAACTTTAAGCATTAGACATTCATCAAGGTCATATCCTAGCTCATAAAACCTCAGTAATTCAAAAACAATCAAAATCACGCAAAGTATCTTTCTTATTTTAGAATTAAACTAGTAACCAACAAGAGAAAGGTATCCAGGAAAATCTCCAAATATTTTGAAATTAAACAAGTTGTAAGTAACACATGGGTCAAAGACAGAAGTCTTGAGGGGAGTTCAAAAATATTTTGAACTGAATGAAAATCAAAATATAACATACCAAAATCTGTGAGCTACAACTAAAGCAGTACTTAGAGGGAAATTTGTAGCATTGAATTTTTTTTGTTTTGTTTTTGTTTTGAGATAGTCTCACTCTGTTGCCCAGGCTGGAGTGCAGTGGCATGCTCTTGTCTCACTGCAGTCTCCGCCTCTGGGTTCAAGTGATTCTTGTGCCTCAGCCTCCCGAGTAGCTGGGATTACAGGCGCACACCACCATGTCTAGCTAATTTTTGTATTTTTAGTAGAGATGGGGTTTCACCACATTGGCCAGGCTGGTCTCAAATGCCCGACCTCAGGTGATCCACCCATCTCGGCCTCCCAAAGTGCTGGGATTACAGGTGTGAGCCACCGTGCCTGGCCACGTTAAATGTTTATATGAAAGGAAAGTATGCCTGGCACGGTGGCTCACACCTGTAATCCCAGCACTTTGGGAGGCTGAGGTGGGTGGATGACTTGAGTCCAGGAGATCAAGACCAGCCTAGGCAACATGGCAAAACCCAGTCTATAAGAAATGAGCTGGGTGTGGTGGTGCATGCCTGTGGTCCCAGCTGCTCAGGAGTCTGAGGTTGGAGGATCGCTTGAACTGGGAAGTCCAGGCTGCAGTGATCTGTGATCCCACCACTGCGTTCCACCTTGGGCAACAGAATCAGACCCTGTCTCAAAAAAAAAAAAAAAAAAGTCTACAGTTAGTAATTTAAGCTACCACTGTATGAGACCAGAAAAAGAAGAGCAAATTAAAGTAAACAGAAGGAAGGAAATAATGAAGAGCAGAAATTAGTAAAATATGGAACAGAAAAACTGTGGAGAAAATCAGTGCAACCCAAAGCTCATTCTTTGAAAATATTCGTAAAGTCAATGAACCTCTAATGAGACATAAGAGAAAAATAGAAATGACTAATATCAAGAATGAAAGAAAGGGTATTACAGACTCTGTAAACATTAAAAGGATAGTAATGGGATATACAACTCTATCCATAAATGCAGAAGCAGATAAAATGGACCTATTCCTTTAAATGTAGATACTACCAAAACTCTCTCAAGAAGAAACAGATAATTTGAATAATTTCTTATCTGTTAAATAAAATGAACTTAGAGTTAAAAACCTAACAATGCAAACTCCAGGCCAGCTCCTTGCAGTGTCTTCCAGAAAATAAAAGAGGCAAGAACACTCATATGAGCCAGAATTTACTCTATCAAAACCAAACCAAAATTACAAACATGGAAAACTATAGACCATAGTTTCCTCATGAACACAGATGTAAAAATCTTATTCCACGAACACAGATGTAAAAATCTTCAATAAATTATTAATGAATCAAATTCAACAATATATAAAAAGAGGTAGTACACCATGACCAAGTGAGATTTATCCTAAGAATCAAGCCTGGTTCACCATTTGAAAATTGGTCAGCATAATACACCATATTATCTAAAATCTTAGTATATTCACAGAAATCATTTGACAAAATTCAACATCCATTCGTGATTTGAAACTCTTAGCAAAGCTGGATACAGAAGAGAACTTCCTAAACCTGATAAAGGACATATACAAAAACACCCTACAGCTAACATCATACTTAATGATGAAAGACTAAATGGTTTCCTCCAAGAATGGGAAGAAGATAAAGATGCCCACTTCGCTCTTATTCAACACTGGAAATCTTAGCCAGCGCAATAAAGCAAGAAAAAGAAATAAATGACATACAGATTGGAAAGGAAGAAAAAATACTGTCTACTTGGAGATGACATGATTTTCCATGTAGGATGCCCATGCAATTTACAAGGAAGTTCCTAGAACTGATTAGTGAATTTAATGAGATGATAGGATATGAAGTCATTATACAAAAAGCAGTTGTAATTCTATATACTTGAAATGAACAATGGGAGATCAAAATTTAAAAACCGAACTATTTACACTAACATAAAAAAATGAAATACTTAGGTGCAAATCTCATATGGTTAATATTCAACAGTATTCAGTATATTAAATATTCAAATCCAGCATGGAAAATATTAGGGAAATGCAAATTAAACCACAGAAATACTATCCACCTTTTAGAATATCTTAAAAAAAAATCTGGCCAGGCGCAGTGGCTCATGCCTGTAATCCCAGCACTTTGGGAGGTGGAGGTGGGTGGATCACAAGGTCAGAAGTTCAACATCAGCCTGGCCAAGATAGGGAAACCCCATCTGTACTAAAAATACAAAAATTAGTCCAGCATGGTGTCAGGCGCTTGTAATCCCAGCTACTTGGGAGGCTGAGGCAGAGAATTGCTTGAACCTACGAGGCAGAGGTTGCAGTGAGCCAAGATCACACCACTACACTCCAGCCTGGGCAACAGAGTGAGACCCCATCTCAAAAAAAAAAAATGTGATAATACCAAGTGCTGACGAAGATGTATTTGGTGATAGGAATGTAATGTGGTTCGGCTACTTTGGAAAATAGCTTGGCACATTCTTATAAATTAAACATGTAGCTCACACTCCTAGTTGATTGCCTAAGAGAAGTGAAATTTGACATTCTTCTGGAAACCTCTGCAAATGTGCAGAGCTGTTTGTTCATGATCATCAAAAACAGACAACCCCATGTTCTTGAGCTGGTCAGTGTGGTACATACTGTGGATAAACATACTGTGGTACCTGCACAGAGGAATACTACTCAGAAATAAAATGAAGTATAATACACTTACCAATGCCAACGAATCTCAACTGCTGGGTGAAAGAAGCCGGACTCAGAAGGCTATATGATTTCATTTTAATGACATTCTGGAAATGGCAGAACGATAGAGTTGGAGAGCAGATCAGTGGTTGCCAGGGGTTTGGGGCGGTAGGAGCGTTTGACCACAAAGGGATCCCATGAGGGAATGTTTTTAGGGTGATACAGGTTGTTCTGTATCTTGATTGTGAGACTAATTTGAAAAACTATGCTTTTGTTAGACTTGTAACTGTACAACAAACATGTAAGTTTTACTATATGTGAATTTAAAATAAAATTTAAAAACAGTATTAGGAAATCAAGGTATGGTATATTAAATATTAAATTACAGTGGATTGTTAAGGGAAGGAAATTAAAACATTATTAAATGCAAATTGTTTTAAATTTTTTCATGTTCAAATATTTGTATATGTTATTTAAATATTTAAATATTTGTATATGTTACAAAACATTCCTTAGAGGTAAACATAGGATTATCAAATAACATTTATAGCCATTTACTATTTCATAGTTTATGAAGCATTTTTTAATACATTAGCTATTTGACATAATCTGATTAGTCAGTTTATTTTGACTATTTTAATATTACTACTCTTGGGAGATTTTTATTTCTGTACATTTTTTATTCTACATCAGAATTCACCTTCAATAAGGATTAATAAGTAACACTCATTGTGGAGACAGCAATTTATAAAAAATTTTCACGACCTTTTTATATTTTAATCACTTGTGTAGTCTGTGGTATTTATCAGTATACTCATTTCATAGTAATGACAACTCTGTGCGTGACACCATAACTAATATGTAACATTTGTTTTAAGACCACTTTCCTGGTGGATAACAAAAAGGTCTTTGGAACTCATCTCATGCAAGACATGGTGAAAGATGCACTTCGGTCTTTTGTCAGTCCTCCGGTGCTTTCCCCCAAGTAAGTGTTGTAAGACATTTTAGAGTTGTATGTGCTCCTTTAAAAAGCCAATTTCTCTGTACTCCTTTATAGCCAAAGTATCAAAATTGTTTGGGATCAAATCTCCGTGTAAAAGTAACTTAATCATGTTAAAATTAACTGATCTCTGCCACATTGTTTAGATTAAAACTAAGGTTTTTATGAGGTTGACAAAATTTCTGATAACTCCTCTAAGTTTTTTGTCTCCAGTGTAAGTGCTTCAACTTTGCTCCAGTAGAGGCACTGCTCCGAAAACATGCTGCCATCAGAGGCTGAAAAGGATTGCATGCAGAAAGAATCATCATTTGATTTGGCATTCTGAGAAATACCAGGCTTTTCCAGTGGGGAAGGAAAGAAAGGAGTCATTATTTCTTAACAAAGCACTCACACACTTTGTTAAAAAATATATACGCTTAACAAAGTGTATCTTTTCCACTGAAAGATACACGATGGCTTTCTATCACCCATTACTTCATGGTAGATCTAACTAATTCTATGTAATGACCTCCAAATATTTCATAATAAATGTTGAGTATCTCTTATCCAAAATGCTTTGGACCAGAAGTATTTTAGATTTCTGATGTTTTTGGATTTTGAAATATTTGCATGTACATAATATCGCTCAGGCTGGAGTGCGGTGGCATCATCTCAGCTTACTACAACCTCCGCCTCCCAGGTTCAAGCGATTCTCCCGCATCAGCCTCCCGAGTAGCTGAAATCACGGGTGCATGTCACCATGCCCAGCTAATTTTTGTATTTTTAGTAGAGATGGGCTTTCACTGTGTTGGCCAGGCTGGTCTCAAACTCCTGACCTCAAGTGATCTGCCCACCTTGGCCTCCCAAAGTGCTGGGATTATAGGCTTGAGCCACTGCACCGGCCTAATATGTTTCTTTTACATGGTGGTATAATTTTTGGAAAGCAGAATTCAGCCTGTTCACATTTGGTGTATGCTATTGGGTCTGAGTTTGAGGTTAATAAATCAACAGTATATTAATCCATTAAATAAGCTGTCTTAAACAGAAATACACATAAAACAAGGTTATGCATTGATCAGTGCATGGAAATGTGACCACAGGCTCATAGGAATCTAACCCTTTATTTCCCCTGTTAGCAATGATTTAATAGTCTAATTTAGTATCTTCAGAAACTTTATGGAACGTAACTACCACAGATAATGCTAAGTAACTATGTATATGGAAAAGTTTATTGTGTGGTGTTCTAGTTGTTCCACTGTTTTAAAAATTTCAGTATTGTAGATGAGAATTCTCTTTTCCTTTGTAAGTGATTTGAAACAACTTCTGGAGTGTTGATGAGTTTCTCTTTATTTTAGGAGTTCAGAAGTTTTACCAGAATATTCATGTGTGATTTTCAGCTAGTCCTATCTGGAATTCAGTCATCAAAGACTCAAGTTTTCAGTCAGATCATTTGTCCCTGTTATTGCTTATTTATTGCTTCACTTTCATCTGTTTTGTTTTTTCCTTTTTTAGAGCTCCTCGCATACTAAGTCTTCTAGAGCTCCCTTACCTATGCCTCATGACATTCGTCTCCTAGTTATTTTTGCTGTGTTGTGAGAAAGTTCTTCCTCTTGATATTCAAGGCTACTAATGAACATATTTTTCTACTGAATTTTTAAATTTGAAAATAATCATCTTTAGATTGAGAGAGCCTTTTTAAAGTGCTTTATTTTAATCTCAGGTAATTTTCTTGCTTTAGGGTTAAAGATGTAGTGAACCTTCAGCACTTCCCATTTCACCAAATGCCTGTTCCAGGTGTTCACCTTTTTCTTTCTCCTGGGTGCTGGTTGCACTGTCTTTTCCGTTGTGTGACCTTGGCTCTGTTTATCAGATAAGGAACACCGTAAAGGAAACCACTTTGTGAGAAGAGATGAGGTGCCAAAGAGATGTTTAGGTGATTTATAACCAATGGTGAGGAGTGGGGATACAGAAAAAATTAGGATCCTGTATAGTGTTTTCTTTGTAATGACTATTATGAGCACAGTCCATGAGGAGATCAGTTGTAGGAAAATACATGACACTGAAGTGGGGTCATGAAAAAGTAGGGCTGTGGACTTTTCCTTTTCTCCTTGCTAATTTGATCTTATTGGATCCAACTCTGATTGTTCAAATATAGATCTATAGGAATTGGAAATATCACAAATGTATTGTGTGAACTACATAATAATTGTAAAATGTTTCATAATCTAATACTAGCATTCTTTAACTTAGGAATCGGTTCCATTTTCTCTTTAATTCACCTTCTCCGTCATTTGTAGCATCTGCAGTAATTGCTGCTGCTTTCGTTTGGGCCGAATAGATTTTAATGATGTGACTATTATCTTGCAGGTGCTACCTATATAATAATCACCAGGCTAAGGACTGTATTGACTCCTTTGTTACTCACTGTGTTCGGGTAAGAGCTACAATTTGGATTGTCGTAATGGGTACTTTAAAAATCATGGGCTGTGGCCGGGCGCGGTGGCTCACGCCTGTAATCCCAGCGCTTTGGGAGGCTGAGGCAAGTGGATCCCCTGAGGTCAGGAGTTTGAGACCAGTAGTGAAACCCTGACTCTACTAAAAATACAAAAATCAGCCAGATGTGGCACATGCCTGTAGTCCCAGCTACTCAAGAGCCTGAGGCAGGAGAATCACTTGAACCCAGGAGGTTTCAGTGAGCTGAGATCATGCCACTGCACTGCAGCCTGGGCGACAGAGCGAGACTTTGTCTCAAAAAATAAGAATAATAAATTGCTGGACTGTAATTCCTTCAGTGTCTTTAATTAATGCTTTTTTTCATCTAACATTTCTTTCTTACTTTCAGTGAATAGATAAAAACTGTCTCCTCCTAACACTTGAGTGGATGGTTTTATAACCTAAGGTCTTCTGATAGGTTGTTAGCTACAGAGGCAGCCTTGGATGACCTCTCCCTGCAGCCTGCGAGGACCGCAGATAGGGAATGTTATGACTCTCAACTGGGAAAACAGCAGTTGCTTCCTTGAAATTTTTTGTGAATGGACATAAAAACTTCTTTACTTTTTTTTTTAACCTTACAAAGAATATTTTTAACATCCTTATATACTTATCTTTGTATTATATTAATGAACTGAGTTATAATAAAATTAAAATTATTGACTGGGCACAGTGGCTCACGCCTGTAATCCTAGCACTTTGGGAGGCTGAGGCAGGCGGATCACCTGAGGTTGGGAGTTCAAGCAGCCTGACCAACATGGAAAAACCCTGTCTCTACTAAAAATACAAAATTAGCTGGGCATGGTGGCGCATGCTTGTAATCCCAGCTACTCAGGAGGCTGAGGTAGGAGAATTGCTTGAACCCGGAAGGCGGAGGTTGTGGTGAGTAGAGATCACACCATTGCACTCCAGCCTGGGCAACCAAAGCAAAACTCTCTGTCAAAAAAAATATATATATATTAATTTAAATGAGATCACAAACTTTTTCATCTCAAGTAATTAGGAAAAAATGCAAATCTTGTAGTGAGTTGAATTATTCATTTTTATTTAATTTTAAAAAATATTTATTTATTTATTTTTAAGACAGGGTCTCCCTCTGTTGCCCAGGCTGGAGTGCAGTGATGTGATCTTGGCTCTCTGCAACCTCTACCCCCAGGGCTCAAGTGATCCTCTCACCTCAGCATTCGGAATAGCTGAGACTACAGACTCACGGCACCCCACCTGGCTAATTTTTTTGTGTTTTTTGTGGAGACGGGTTCACCCTGTTGGCCAGGCTGGTCTCAAACTCCTGAGCTCAAGTGATCCACCCGCCTCGGCCTCCCAAAGTGCTGGGATTACAGGCATGAGCCACTGCACCCGGCTTCATTTTTATTTAATTAGATGTAAGTATTTCTCTTAGAGAACTCCAGCAGGCGACTTTTTTGGGTCTACTTCCAGTTACTAAAAGTTTATCTGTCTATGTATATGTAGAGAGAGAGAGAAAAAAAAGCAGCATGGTATGGGGAAAAGAGAAAAAAACAGTAGAAGACCAGATTTCATTTTTTTTTATCATTAATATTTTATCAGGCACATCACTTTTTTATAAACTTTCCTTTATTTTATTTTTTTTTTTTTTGAGACGAAGTCTCACTCTGTCACCCAGGCTGGAGTGCAGTGGCACAGTCTTGGCTCACTGCAACCCCCGCCTCCTGGGTTCAAGCAGTTCTCTGCCTCAGCCTCCCATGTAGCTGGGATTACAAGTGCCTGCCACCACGCCCAGCTAATTTTTGTATTTTTATTAGAGATGGGGTTTCACCATCTTGGCCAGGCTGTTCTTAAACTCCTGACCTCATGATCTACCCGCCTCGGCCTCCCAAAGCACTGGGATTACAGGGGTGAGCTACCGTGCCTGACCCAACTTTCCACTCTTTAAAGAGTAAAATGCTTACATCTTCTCTGACCTCTTACAGGGTAGTTATTGATCAAATGAGATAATATCTGTCAAAGAATGCAAATATAAAACAGTATTAAACTTCGAGAATCTTCTAATTCACACTGAAAGCGTCTTACCAATCCATGTCTCTTGCCTGGTTAGTGGAATGTTGCATAGTATTTTAGATGAGAACACTGTATGGAGAAAGCAGGAATAAAGAACAATAGTCAAGGTTTATGGCTATTAGCTCTTCTTAAGCTATATAAGTATTAGGCATTCTGGTATATTTATAGCAGCACAGGAATGTCAGCCTTGAACATTGGCTTTTGACTCAAAATAAGCAGGAAAGAAATTGTCCTCGTGAAATTGGAAGAAGATATCTAAAGATCGAAAGAAGATATTTTTACCATATGAAGGGAAGTTTCACACGAAGCTATGTTTTTTCCGGTTATTGCTAAATTCTGGTGTTGAGTTCTTTAAACACCTATGTAAAATTAAAAGTAGACATAGACATAGTTCTTATGTACACAGCATTTTTTTTCCCTTAAACCGGATTGTGAACTTGGAATGTTAAGTTTCTTTGGTACCAGAAAATTTCATATTTACGGTTGACAAATTATATGTGTATTGCAGCCATTCTGTAGTCTTATTCAGATCCATGGACATAACAGGGCTCGACAGAGAGATAAGCTTGGTCATATTCTTGAGGAATTTGCCACCTTGCAGGATGAGGTAAGAGCCAGGTTCCCCTCTCTTCTAAAATTAAATGACTCACACACTTTGTCCAGATTTTTAAAAACAATTCTTCCGAACAATATTTTGACTGTTTAATTTTTCAACATGATCCACTTTTCACTTAAAATATAATGGTTTCTTACACCAGCGTTTACAAAATGAAGCAGAACAATAATCCAAACTGATAGACATCTTAAATATTTCTTTGATAATAGGAATAAATTATGAAATATGTATAAAATGATAGTTTTATAACAAGGTTACATATAAAAATATTAATATATTAATTTTAAAGTTAATATATGTGCAGCAGCAATATTGATAAGTAAAGACCTGAAGTGTATTATTTGTATTTTTGTCCTTTAAAATTGATGTCTTTTTAGTTTAAGGCATGTTTAGGTAAATGTTAACCATTGTGAAATGAGAACTTCGAATGTAAACCTAACTAAAAATACATTTAAAAATGTTTCTTTGGGTGGTCAGATTTAAATTTTCTGCTTATATTCTTTTTAGCTGTATGTTTTTTTAAAGTTCTCTCATTACCTTAAGAAAACAAAACGAACACAGTTTATGACATTTTATTTTAATAGGCAGAAAAGGTTGATGCAGCGCTTCACACCATGCTGTTGAAACAGGAACCCCAAAGGCAACATTTGGCCTGTTTAGGTACCTGGGTCCTTTACCATAACCTTCGCATTATGATACAGTATCTTCTAAGTGGCTTTGAATTGGAACTCTACAGTATGCACGAGTACTATTACATATATTGGTAAGAGCACAGTTTGAGTTAAAATTGGTGGTAGGTGGAATGGATAAGATCTGAGTGAATTTAGAGTTAATTTCAGGGTACTTTTTCATTTAGTATATTTTACCTTTAGTTGTGGGACATTTGAAAAAATTCAAAAATTAGAGCTGGATCATCTTGAATATCTTTAAGTGCTATAATATTGCATGAGTGTATTTTTCCAAATATTTATGTAAAAATTAACAAAAAATGGCTCCAAAGTAAATGGATTGATTGAAGATCATTTATTTGTTCCTATGGAGAAAAATTAACACGTTTTGCCCTGAATTTGGTGGCACTAGCTGTGGATGTACTTGACAGAGTTAAACATCAAATTGGAATCAGGACTGTCTGCTTAGAAGAAATCATGACCAAGCTGAGTACTGGGAGCATAACTGTTTCAAACCGTGGTGCTGAGGATGCACTTCAGGAGCTTTGGAGTTGATAAAAGATGATCTTCAGCAGAGTAGTTCTTCCCTTTCACTTGAGGACAAAATAAAGAAACCTAGTAAGAGGATGCTTGAACATATTTTAGGCATGTAAAAGCTGTCATAGGAAGAAAATAAAATTGAGCATTAATGAATTCAGTTATTTTGAATCTTTTTCTCAATCTGGCACATAATTTTAAACTAATGACCTGTGTTACTCATCACAAACACTCAGGTTTAGTATATTAGACTTTAATAGAGTTCACCTTTTAAACTTATTTAAACTTACTGAACTTAGTAATTAAGATATTCTATATTCTCTGAAGTCACTGCTGTGGGAGGGAAAGTAATTCTCTTCCATGCTGTTGACGTAGATTTTGTTATGAGCAGTGAAGGCTCTTGACAGATAACTCTTGCCTATGAAAAGTGAATTTGAGCATCAACTATAGCAATATGAGAATAATTTTCCTTGCTATATGTTCTTCAACATTTATATAGATAATACCAGATAATCCTTAATAACAGGTATTTATATAGCTACTTTGGATACTACATTTTGTTATTCATAGTAGACAATACTGGTTTTATTAATTTTTATATGCTGCTTTGCACAGAGAATTGGGATCTTAATTCAGCAAATAAATGATACTCAGATAAATACTCCATTACACATTTGTCTATATTCATAAGTAGATTTGTTTCTTTTCTTATTAAAAGAACTTTAGTTCTGCCCATAAATACCCTTGTGGTCTTTTCATAATTGTTTTTGAACTGCTTTTTAATTTCAAAATGACAGATTGGGCTCTTGCATTTCCCTGAGATAACCTTTAGTTGTTTTTTCAGGCATACGATCCCTGAAGCATGTGGACTCTTTTTAAATTATCAACAAAAACGGTGATCCTTAAACTTTAACATGCATCATAATCACTTGGAAAGTGCATTAATACACAAATTTCTGGGCTAATTCCTGACCTGTTAGGTCTAGGATGAGACCGAATAATTTGCGTTTCTAACTGGTTCTCAGGTTAACTGCTGCTGGCCCAGAGATGACAATTTGAGAACCATTGGTATAGAATATCAGCACTCTCTTAGACATAAATGTGTATTAATTTTGATAAAGCACTTAATAGATCATTGAGGTACCTGATATTTGAGAGGAAAAGGCTGCATCTTAGTTGTCCCCTTCACTCATGTGTCCTTAGGTTAGATAAACAGAAGGTAGACGGCACCGTCAGTTCCCTATAGAAATCCTTCACTTGAATTAAGGTATATGAGTTGTTACGGACTCTCACATTTTGTAGGGTGGCAGGGAAACAAAATTCAGTTATATACTGTAAAAGGGTACTATAGTAAATGTTTTTCTTAAATTCAGGGCCAGGAATTGTTTACTCTCCATTTGCAATTAGGTCTTATTGATTATTGATTATTGATTATGTTATGAAGTGTGTATATATATATGTCTCCTAGATTTGAAGACTTTTCTGGCTTAGCAGTGTTAAAGTTCTGAAAAATTAGTGTCTGGTAGAATGTTCTGTTTTATATTTTGTTTATTAAACTCAAGTAAATTGTAAATGTGAATGTTCTTAATTTTTAAGAATGATTTTGTATAATGCCAATAATTTTTTATCTTTTTCTGATTTTATTTGTGATTAAAATATTTGTAAACTGAACTGTGTTCTGATATAATGAAAACTTAATGGGCATTCATTTGATTTGCATATGTACATGTATAATTATCAGGAAATCTGGAAAGTTGTAAAATGTTGAAAGGGAAAATTAATCCTTGTGTTCATTTCTTGTAAGATCTATAATCGAACGATCTGTTTTTAAAGACCTAAAGCATTATTTGAAGTATCTATTGTTGTTAATATATGTGTTGATAAAGCTGTCTCATTTAGACATCTACCATTAACTAACATTTTGTATCCTTTAAGGTATCTCTCTGAATTCCTTTACGCATGGTTGATGTCAACATTGAGTCGTGCAGATGGCTCTCAAATGGCAGAGGAAAGGATAATGGAAGAGCAGCAGAAAGGCCGTAGTAGTAAAAAAACAAAGAAAAAAAAGAAAGGTGCTGTGGATTATTTTTAAACTTAAAAACAGAGTGTACTTTAATTTCTACAAATAAATAGATGGAGCTACTTGTGAGTTAGTCATTATATTTTAGCTCTTGTTCCTCTTCTTTTCAGAAACTATAAGGTAGAGACTGAGTCCCAGTATTAATGACATAAGCTTTTTGGTTCCTTTCCTTGCTTTCATTTCTTTGCTGTTCTATCAGAATCTTTGATCAAGAAGTAGCCACGTGGCATGTGCAAGCAAGATACAGGTTAGGGGACAAGACAGCAGGAGGCCATTGACCTTTTGACAGAGCCTGATAGCTCAGGAGGGCAGTAGTTCTGGAGCTGTGCTGTGGTAGTGGGCACCAAAAGGTGCCTTGGGCATCACCCAAGAACCATGAGGACAGAGAACTGTTTCAAAGGGACTGCCCTATTGATCACTTAGGGAAGGCTATAGATATTGCTACAATTATTGTAAAATACTGTTTCATATTTCCTCAGAACTTAAAGCAATTTGGATGGGTCATTAAATCACTGTATGCATGGGTTTCCTTTAAAAGGTTAAATCTCTGGTGAATTCAGAAAAGTTATAATTACTTTATACTGGAATTTTATAGTATTAGCTATTTGGGGACATGATTATTATATTTTATTATTTGTAGATTTTGACCATAAATAAAATTTAACCTGTAGGAACAAACTGAAGTTTTAATTTAGTATACAAGCTGGAAGATTTTTTTAAATTAGATTTTCTTTTCCAATAATGCAAGAGGAAGGAGGAAGAGATTATGGAAGATTATGTTTTTCTTTCTAATTACAGTTCGCCCTTTGAGCCGAGAGATCACAATGAGCCAAGCATATCAGAACATGTGTGCTGGAATGTTTAAAGTAAGTTGTTGAAAGTAAAGTTCTTTTTACCTTTTAGCTGTATGTCTATTATATAGTTTATTTAAACTCTTTTCTGTGGTTCTTTCCAGATTATAATTTCACCTTTGTTTTACTTTATCTGCTTGAGGATTACCTTTATTATCATTAATTTGTTCAACAACCATTTGAACCCTTGCTATGTGTGAGATACTTTGTACTGAGTACATTGCAGGAGAATACCAATTCTATATGGTCCTTGTTTCAAGTCTGTAGCAACAGACCAGTTGATGTGTCTGTGACAGGTAGTAAGAAAAAGCAGAGAGTACTTCTGATTGATGATCAGGCAAGGCTTCCTGGAAGAGATGGAGTTTAGGTTTTTTAGGAGTGTATTTGGAAGAGGGAGAGCTCCACAACCAATGACTTAAGCAAAAGCAGGCCTTTTCAAGAGGCAGTGGGTACTAACTCTTAAGTTGTACTTGGCAGTCCAAGAAATCATTTGAGGCAACTTACATGAAAATGCATAAAGCAGAACATGGACTTTATTTGAAAATAGGACCTGTGCTTATGACAATTATATGTCCTCATTTTTTCAGAAGCATTTACTTGAAGGTTTTAAATAGCTGTTTCTTGTCTTCTATTCCGTATTGATGAGAGTGTTCGCTTTTTTCATATTGATTTCATCTTTTTTCTTGTTCCCTTTTTCATTTAGACCATGGTTGCATTTGACATGGATGGCAAAGTACGTAAACCGAAGTTTGAGCTTGATAGTGAACAAGTTCGGTATGAGCACAGGTTTGCTCCGTTCAACAGTGTGATGACCCCGCCGCCCGTGCACTACTTACAGTTCAAGGTGAACTTGCTCAAGGAAATCGTTCGGAAATCTTCAGTGTTAGACCTTCTTAGAGAGATGCTGTTTGTACCTAGCCATCTTGTTAAATTTACAGTTATTTAAATTATAAGAATAATATGAGGTAGCATATGAGGGTTGAGAATTACATATTACCTAGGAAAAAATAGGGAGATGTGCCAAGTGTTTGCCCCAGTGTCTGTATATGAGTGGATAGAAAATGTAGAATTCTTTAATAATTAGAAATGGGAGTTTAGAGTTGTTCATATTAAACATGTTTTGAATTATATTTCCCCTTCTTTTTAGGAAATGTCTGACCTCAATAAATATAGCCCTCCTCCTCAGTCTCCTGAATTGTATGTGGCAGCTAGTAAGCACTTTCAGCAGGCAAAAATGATATTGGAAAATATTCCTAACCCGGACCATGAGGTAAGACTGGATTCACAGTAATTTTAAGGGAAAAGCGTGGCAGGAAATACATCTCTTACTGCTGGATGAAAGTTAATTATGAAAGTGAACTTTAATAGTGTGAGTGAATATAACTTGTCATGTTTCTGTGAAAGATTTCGGATAGTTTTGTCAAACTAACCTTGTCAGACTTCAAGTTATTTTAAGAATGAGGTGATGTAAATACCTGCTTTGTGTAAATTTAGAAGTCAATGCAAAGACAAATTATGACTCACAATCATGAAGTAAGAAGGATAAGCATAAGATCCAGACTGATCTGATTCATAGCTCAAAATGTTAGCATTGAAACATTTCTGGTTTAATCAGTTTGTTAAGGGGGCCGGGCGTGGTGGCTCACACCTGTAATCTCAGCAGTTTGGGAGGCCCAGGTGGGTGGATCACCTGAGGTCAGGAGTTTGAGACCAGCCTGGCCAACATGGTGAAACCTTGTTTCTACTAACAGTGCAAAAAATTAGCCAGGCGTGGTGGTGCATGCCTGTCTGTAATCCCAGCTACTTGGGAGGCTGAGGCAAGAGAATCATTTGAACCCCAAGGTGGAGGTTGCAGTGAGCCAAGATTGCGCCATTGCACTCTAGCCTGGGCGACAAGTGAAACTCCATCTCAAAAGAAAAAAAACAAAATTATTAAAACGTAACTAAGTTTTACATAAATATGAAAAATGACCTGGCCAGTTGTCACAGAAACAACCTTATTGCACTTGACCATTTAAAATAAAGGCTATTGCTTTTGAAGACTCTGAGATATCAAAATAAACTTGGGGAAAAAAGTTGTTTCAGGCTTTTGGTATTTTAATAATTTACCATATCCCTAATTTTATTGAAATACATTTATTTTCTAAAAGTTACCTGTAATGCGTACATACTGTCTTGGGAAGTATATCTTGGGATCACTTCCATAGAGGGGTAGATTAGCAGTATTTGTCAAAAATCATTAATGCTTAGATCCAGCAATTCTGCTTTTTGGGTATTATATAGATACATGAACACATACAGGAAGTGAGAGTGATGAACATAAGAGTATTCATTGCAGCAGGATTTCTAATAGCAAAAAGCAGGAAGAAACAGTAGTATCCATCAACAGGGGACTGATACATGATGATACATTCATACAGTGGTATCCTACGCAGCCTTAAGGAGGATGAGGAAGCTCTTTACGTACTGTGATGGAATGCTCCGTATGATTTAAGAAATCTAAAAAGAAAGGCGCACTTTAATATGCATAGTATGGTGCAGTTTCAATCAAAGGGGGCAAGGGAAGCCTATATGTATGTGTGCGAGTATAAAATATCTTTAGAAAGATAATATCAGAATTGGTAGTTTTGTTTCCTTCCTTGGAGGGAAGCAGAGTGCCTGGACGAGGGATAGGGGAGACACGTTTTAAAAATTATATGTACCATCTAAGAAAATATAAAGGGGGAGTCTAAACATTTGAGGAGCTACCTATGATAGATGACATATTTCATTTAGTGAAACTTCATTCATTTATTCAAAGATGAGTCTGTGCTCCTAATACTATGTGTGCTATGCTGCCTTTTGAGGACTTTGCAGCCTAATTTTTTTGTTATTCAGGAAAGCGAGATAAGGTAGCCATTTCAATTCAGAGTTAATTGAAATGAAGTTCTGTATTATTAAAAGAAATATATTTAGAATTTTAAATTGCCTTTATTTAATAAAACATCAACACTTCCATTATACAAAGTTCCTGTTAGTATCTATAATTAAGAAATTTTGGCTGGCCACAGTGGCTCACGCTGATAATCCCAGCACTTTGGGAGGCCAAGGTGGGAGAACTGCTTGAACCCAGGAGTTCAAGACCAGCCTGGGCAACATAGTGAGTTCCTGACTCTGCAAAAGTTTTAAAATGAGCTGGGTGTGATGGTGCACAGCCATTTGGGAGGCTGAAGTGGGAGGATTGCCTGAGCCAGGAGGTTGAGGCTTCAGTGAGCCGTGTTCTTACCACTGTACTCCAGCCTGGGTTGACAGCAGGACTCTGTCTCAAAAAAGAAAAAGAGAAATTTTGACTATGAAGTTAATGTTTCAATAGTTTTATGTTCATGTTTCAGGTTAATAGAATTTTAAAGGTTGCCAAACCCAACTTTGTGGTTATGAAGTTATTGGCAGGAGGACACAAAAAGGAATCTAAAGTGAGTACGTTGTGGGAAAAAGAAGTGGTCTTAAATTATTGTGAAGTTTCATAATTTTTTCCAATAAGATGTGTAAATATTATTACAGGAAGAATTAAACCACTGAACAAAAATCATTCTAAAAAGTTTAGTTCAGCAGCAAAACTTAGAGCTTGCCATTTTGCCTTGAGATGTGTATTTTGTTGGGTTAAAATTTCTAAAGTCTGCCCATATGTTTTCCATCTCCTTGCTGTGTAAATTACTGAATAACTTGGGGTAAAAAAAGAAAATTTATGTAAAGAAAATTTTATGGGAGAAGTACGAGGTATTTAAATGTCATCTGCCTTTGGGAAAGTGAGTGCTTTAATAATGAAAGACTTCTTTGTAATGGCTCAGAAGAGGAGTCTGTAAGCTTTTTTTTGGTAATGTTGTATCATCCATGCCACGTCAGTATTTCCGAGCACAGATTCTGCGCTGTGGAGAGGCCAGCCGTGGAGGCATTTGCCTGTGTGTGTTGTGCACCTTGTTTTCTTCCATTGTTTCCTGTGATCCATCTTCATCCTCTCCTGCCCTGGTTTCCTACTGACTGACTCTCTCATCTCATTGCTTAGTTCTGTCAGTTACCCTGGAACTAAAAAGTATGCTGACCCCTGATCTAACTGAATGCCTTTTCTATAATTTTTGACTGTTTATCTTTTTTAACTGTTTTCCGAAGATAGAAAACAGCTGGTCAGCCTGTTTTCTTATGATCTTCATAAAACTCAAAAACAAATTAATCAGTTTTTCTTCCATATCCTCTCTTTTTTGCCATTAACCTAGTTTTTAAAATCTATTTTGTGCTGCCTTGTTTCTAAGAACACAAGAAACTCTAAAATAAAAATAGTCTTTGTTTTGTGTACCATCTGAATATTTGTAGATACATTAATTGGCTTTCTGGGTTTTCTTTAACAGGTCCCTCCTGAATTTGATTTCTCTGCTCATAAATATTTTCCTGTTGTGAAACTTGTTTGAGAGAGACTGGGAAGGTGGCCATAAAGGGGCAGAGTCTTCTTTCAGACCCCACTCTTCGAGGGCACATCACCAGGCTCCACATCACGGGAAGTGAGATGGATTTCTTGGATGACAACTCATTATAAGGAATACTTTTAGTTTGACAGCCTTATATGACGTGAATGAAAACTGCTGTTTTAAAGTGGTTTATTATGTTTCATGGAAGAAACTGGTCTTATTGAATGCATTGATGAACGTTATATGGTTTTATTACAGATTTAATCACAAATCATTTTTTATGAATGATTGAGTGAAAATAGTGTTTATAAAGGTTAATAAATTTCTTGACAAAAAAAAAAAATGCACTGCTGGAGATGAGAAACAGTAGCTCTTTGTCCATGTTAAGAACTGAAGAAGGTGTATGCTCTTTAACATTTGAGTAGTTCTAAAACGTTATCCAAAAGTAGTTTCAAATCAAGGGGTTAATTAAACACTTGTATGAGATTTTGGTAAAATACATTTAGAAGAGATTTTTGGGAGGACTTCTAAGATAGAAACTAAATTACATGAAAATTGTGATTTTTATGTGTCATGGCATCACAAATTATATATCTAAGAATACAGATGTGTAAAAAAACTTTACCTGTTACTTTTGGCACTTTTAAAAGATTATACATTATGTTTGCTGGTGACATTATTCAAAAAGGAGGCAGATAGAAATGTATATAGATTAAAATTTAGGTCTAGGTTTAAATGTGGTATACTCCTTTTTGTTTACTTCATAATTCAGTTTAACCCATGAAACATTTTCAAATGGGTGTCTGTTAAGTATCCTCTGGCTTTGAAAAACTGACTACATCCCCCTGTGCTTCCAAGTGCCTGCTGCCAGAGGCCCTCCCCTTTCCTGCTTGTCCTGTCTCCGCTCTGATGTTCGCGATGGCAGCTGTCTAGGCCTTTTGGGCCTTCCTTTTTGTCCTCTGTAGCAGGCAATACTCTTAGCAAAATGAGCCACTCTGTGATATAAATTGGCTTTGATGGCTTAGCCTAAGACTAGTGACAGTTTTATATTTGGTCTGTGGTTAAAAAGGTTCTCAGCTTCAAATATCTTAACTCTGATTTGATATCTTTCATAAAAACATGATAGTGAAACTTGTCTGGCAGTATTTTAAAGCAGCTAACCTGACTGAACTTGCTAAGGGTGTTCCTGTTGCCGCTCTTTGCAGCTAATGAGCTCTCCTGGCTTTCCTTTCCAAGAGTGGTAATACTTGTGTTATTCAAGAACAGCCATTAGGCATCCTGAAATTTCAGAACCCAAAAATCTTTTTTAAAATGTGCGTGTTTTTTTTAAGTAGCCTGTACAATAGAAACTTGAATTATGGAGAGATGAAGAGTATACCTGTTACTGATTTAGTTACTTTGTTGAGAATGAAAACATTGTTTCTGGCTGGTAATTACTGAATGCTTTAAATGAAAAAAGGCAAAGGAATGGTAGGAAATAGGCAAGACAAGAAACAAGGAATCAAAAGAAAAAGCAAAGAGGAAACCAGAATAAGCCTGGACATTTGGCACACAACCAAGAAGAGAGCCTGAAGCAAGTTAGAAAGCTGAGAAATTCTTCTTCTTTCCCAGTGGCCAAGATATAAAGTATAAAAAATATGTCCCCCTTAAAAGCAAAAAAAGGAATATAGAGTAATGCAACAAAGGCCCTGCTAGGTGATGGGATCACTTTTAATTAAGAGGGTGCTCTGGCATTTTTAGCCACTATGATTGAGTCTGCTGGTTGGGCATCTAGGTTATTTTGAAGTAGGTCTTCCTAAGTAAAAGTTTTCCTATTATCAACTAAAAAAAGATTGATCAGTGTTAGATTTATCAGTGTATGTTACAGAATTGTGTGGTTTCCTTTAAGTAGCTTTAATTTTTGGTTTTTAGTTTGTTTAGAGATGAGGTTTCACTATGTTGCCCAAACTGACCCAAACTTGTGGGCTCAAGCAGCCCTCCTGCCTCAGCCCCCAGAGTAGCTGGGATTATAGGCACATGCCTGCTTGGCTAGTTTTTGTTTTTAAACAGCAGGTTTCTAACTATAAAAACAAATTTGCCATTTTATAATGTTTAAAGTAATCTGCCATTCAGGGTACTTACTGAAAAAACTAGAATAAGTCTCCTCTCATAGAGCTTTTATAATCTTACAACGAATGCAGAAAAGCAACAGGTATTGAAAATGCAGTGAGGAATATGCCATATGCTGGGTAGGAGAACTGCCCCACATGAAACTTTAGGCGACAAATCCCCATCACATTGATTCAGGAGGCATTGCTGGGAAAAGGGTCCCAGACAGAATGTGCACAGGCTGGAGGGGAGAGGGTGGCAGCCTGGCTGAAGTACAGAGCAGGAAAAGGATGGCAGAGATGAACTTGAGAGACAAGAAGAAGCCGATACCCAAAAACCTGGGAGGCCAGGTTAAAGATTTTGGACTTTATTCTGATGTTGGTAGATACTACTGAAGGCTTTTATGCAGGGACATGATGGGATCAAATCAAATCTGCTTGCCTGAGACCGGTTCAAAAGGGAGGCAGGGAATCCAGTCATGTGAGAGAAAACGTTGGTCTTAACAAAGGTAGTGGCAGAGCAGGTGGAAGAAAGTGGATGAAATCAAAAGTTTTCAGAACTAACAGCTAACGGGACATGGTAAATGAGAGTTTCTGCCAAAATCAAGGATGATTTTTCAGAAATTTCTTGGCTTTGGCAACTGGACGGTGGTGGTGCCACTTGCTTAGTTATCTACGCAAGGTAGACCAGGTTTGAGATAAAGATTGCTTTAGACATTGAGATATTTTTGGGACATCTTGAAGATGGCAGGTAGTTTGATCTCGAACTGGGAGGTGCCATCTGGGGTGGAGATGAACTGAGGACTAAGTAACTACAGTCACTGTAATTTTCTGGGGGTTGCCGTTGCTCAGGGGGCTCCTAGAATAAGGGCCTTGAGATCGGTCCCAAGGAACAGACTCAGGAGGGCCAGGGAATGGGGAGGCCAGTGAGGTGGTGGGACAGGCTGCAGGGAGGAGTACCTCAGTGTCATATCAGGCCACTGTTTGACAAGCATGCCTGCTCCACCGTTTTGTTTGCACAAGACTCTGACAGTATATTGCCTTAAATAGTCAAAGCGCACCCTGTTTGGAAAAGTTTAGGGGAGGTGGTTGTTTCCCTTGTTCCTCTTTGGCTGTGCTCTGGGCACTGGAAAAAGCTTGCAGAGGAGACTTATCAGGAAAGTAAGTAGAATGCAGGGCCACATGCTGCTCAAAGGCCATTAAGAGAAGGACTGAAAAGAGCCCATTGAACTTGGCAAGTAAAGATTGCTGGTGACTGGGGCGAGCTCTTTCTTGAAGCGGTGGGGCAGAAGCTGGAAAGTCAGTTGAGGTGTAGACCATGCGGTGTGGAAAGAGACTGACTCAACTGGGCTTGAAGAACTGACTTCCCCATATTCATACTTGCCCCACTCTCTCTATTCGTAGAGTGGCTGGTATGATCTTAAAAGATCATAAAATGCAAGCATGGTCACTTGACAACTCAAAGTCCACTGTTCTCGACTGAATGACCTAGTCTTTACCCAGAATGCCAGTTTGGCCCCTTCCACCACTTCTTCGTTTCTGCCCTCTCCGTTCGGCCCCTCAGGCTGCAGCCACGTTGCCTCCCTGAGACCCCCAAGCCTCAAATTTTGGAGACTCAACATGAAGTTACTATGCAACAGCTCTGTTGAGTCTCTAAACTGATCACGAGGTCAGGAGATTGAGACCAGCCTGGCTAACAGTGAAACCCCGTTTCTACTAAAAATACAAAAAATTAGCCGGCATGGTGACACGCATCTGTAGTTCCAGCCACTTGGGACGCTAGAACTACAGATGCGTGTCAGCACAGGTGACTGTTCTATTTTGTTGGAACAGCCCACAGCCCTCTCCATTGTTGGCTGAATCCGCCGTGATCCCTAGGGCAGCCTGGAGAAAGCGTGCAGACTGCACACATGCCAAGCACACAGCTTTTGGGGCCCTGTGGGTTGAAGATGTTGTACTGACAGTTCATCTCATTCCACAGAAGGTTTAAGGCAAACCGACGTCCTTAGTCCACAGTTTGAGGGTGGATTCTTTAAGGATCTTACAGAGGATGAAGGGGAAAAGCAAAAAACAGAGCTGTGACACGTTTTAAAAGTTGAACAGAATATTTTATTTCTCAGCAGTTGTATGCAGACAAATTAAACATGAGATGAATAGAGACTTTATTGAGAAAGCAAGAGAAAATTTCTATCAACCCCAAGAAGGACTCAAAGTGAGGCTGGAAGAGGACTTAGAGTATGAAAGTACTCTAAGAGTTTATCTAAGTTGCCTTTTCTGGGTGGGAAAGTTTAACCTTAGCGACGAGGTAAAAGGACATCAGACATGAAGATGTTTAAGTTGGAGGTGGCAGCATGAACTGCCAACAGGGCCTGCTTCAGTGACTGTGTGCCTGTAGTTCCAGCTACTTGGGAGTCTGTGTGAGGCCCGGGGTGCCAGCACACCAGCTAGATGCTCCGTAACTTCTAGGCCCCATTTGCCCCTCTGAAAATAAGAGGGTTGGATCAAAAGATCTCTTGGGCCTCAGCATCTCAAATCCTGTGGATCCTCCCACTCATCCCTTAGAGAGCCTTGCTGGGAAGTCAGTCATTAATGGTGTGGCCAGTTATTTGCAAGTGGTAAGAGCCTATTTACCATAAATAATACTAAGAACCAACTCAAGTCAAACCTTAATGCCATTGTTATTGTGAATTAGGATTAAATAGTAATTTTCAAAATTAACTTGATTTTAAAATCAGTTTTGTGAGTCATTTACTACAAGCTAAATGTGTACACTATGACAAAAACAACCATTGTATTCCTGTTTTTCTAAACAGTCCCAATTTCTAACACTGTATATATCCTTCAACATCAGTGAACTTTGTTTTCTTTTACTCCAGTAATAAAGTAGGCACAGATCTGTCCACAACAAACTCGCCTCTCATGCCTCGCCTCTCACTGTGCTCTGCTCCAGGTCAGCCCCCTTTTGGCCTGTTTTGTCAAAAGCCTAATCTCCTTGCTTTTCTTGGTAATATATGGTAATATATATTTAGGGAAGGTGTTGCTTTGCCCACACACAGGAAGCAAAGTAAATACAGACCACAAATGTTCAAATTGTAAGCCACTTAATAGCGTTTTGCACATTAAAAATGACAAGGGTTATTATACAAGTAGCCTTTTTAAAAATTCTCACACAAAACAGCTTTGTATTTAGACTTAAAGCTGTTGCTAGTTTGCTAGTGACATTTGTGTTAACAGTCAGTGTTCTAGGCCATTGATTGTCAGAATCAGAAGTGACTGCACAAGAGCATAAGCCAGTCAGTCAGTGAGAACAGATTACAGGCTGGCACCAGCGCTTGGCACAGCACATGGAAAGGAGGACATCAGAGGGAACCCAGAGGTTCTCTGTCTCCCCTTCACAGCAGATGAACTCTTCCTATAGGTGGACTCTTCCTATAGGTGGCTGTTAATTTACACAAAGTTATATTCCAGAATCAGGAAGCCCCACTGTCGCCAACACTTGAAGAACTATGTTCCATTTTTGGTGTTGAACTTCTCATGAAATACCTATTATCAAAAATTGTGACATCTTATTAGACACTTCAAAAGTACCCCCAAAAAACTCTTTAAAAGACCAATCTTTTCCTACACACAGTACATACTAAAATTTCACAATAATCATTTTTAGATGTACATTTTATTCAGTACATTTCACAGTTTTCAGTATTCAGTCCCTTATGAACATTTATACTCATCTCTTCAGTCCTGATGTCAAATGTGATTCCAGTTCAATTCAGAGTGTATGATTCCGCTTTTCATGCTGATCAAGTAAATTTATGGTATCTCTTTTCTGATCTTCAACATTAAAAACTAAAAAGGAAAAAAAGATACACGTAATCTAGTATTAAACATTTTGAGATACCAGCCCTAGGCAGGTCCCATTTTATCAATTTCTAGAAACTGTGTCATAAAGAGGACTATCTCCCACAACAACACTGTAATTGGGAGGTGCATTCCTCGTCAAGGACAAGATGGCAAAGGTGATACGGGAGGAGGGCAGGGACGTGCTGGGGAGAGAAGGGCAGGGTGTCTGGCAAGGGCTCCACCCTCAGGCCTGTGTCCATGGACCTACATGAGAACAAGCACTCCTGTCTTCGTGCTCAAATGTTGCATTTTCCAAGACCACTCCGGCCTGCCATGCTCCCCCATTCTGTGCCCATAAAAACCCTGAGACCCCAGTGGGCATACACACACAGGCAACTGGACATCGAGACGAACACACTGGCAGAACACACCGAAAGATGCCAGCAGGCCACTGATGGCAGAACGATTCGGACGCCAAGGGAAATCTGGCCAAGGACAGTAGGAGGAGAGCCCGGCTGCTGAGCAGCCCGACTCCAGGGGAAGACCACCTTCCCACACCATCCCCCTTCTAGCTCCCCATCCATCTGCTGAGAGCTACTTCTACCACTCAATAAATCTTGCATTCATTCTCCAAGCCCACATGATCTGATTTTTTCAGTACACTAGGGCAAGAACCCAGGATACAGAAAGCCCTCTGTCCTTGCGATAAGACAGAGGGTCTACTTGAACTAAGCTGAAGGAGCGCACTGCAACACACACCCACTGGGGCTCCAGGAGCTGTAAACACACAACCCTAGATGCCGCTGTGGGGTGGGAATCCATCCTCCCCACGACCTGCCCGTCTGCGTGCTCACCCTAGGGGTTTGAGCCGCGGGGCACTGAAGAAGTGAGTCACACCCCCACTGCATGCCCTGTGAGAAGGTAAGGGAACTCCTCCCCCTTTTTTTTTTTGAGACAGAGTCTCACTCTGTCACCCAGGCTGGAGTGCAGTGGTACGATCTCGGCTCACTGCAAGCTCTGCCTCCCGGGTTCACGCCATTCTCCTGCCTCAGCCTCCCCGCGTAGCTCGGACTACAGGCACCCGCCACCGCGCCCGGCTAATTATTTGTTGTCGTCGTATTTTCAGTAGAGACGGGTTTTCACTGTGTTACCCAGGATGGTCTCGATCCCCTGACCTCGTGATCCGCCCGCCTTGGCCTCCCAAAGTGCTGGGATTACAAGTGTGAGCCACTGCGCCCAGCTGGAACTCCTCCCCTTTCAAAGGGTCCAAATGGATGGCCAACAATGTGCCATGAAACAAAGCTGAAGCACCTAAAGATTCCATACTTGTTTGTAACAGTGACGTACTGCCCCATATGCCATAGGAAATGGACAGTATCAAGTGCACTCATGACATTTTAATACAATCACCACGCTCCTGTGCAGCGTGATTCCCTGGCTACTGCACTTCGAATGGCACACGCTGCCTCCTGAGAGCGGTCGGCAGCTTCAGACAGCTCTTGTGACTCCAAAGCTCTCCCTTTACAGAGCTGATGTCTGTGTAGCTTCTAGACTCTATCCTTTCACACACAGAAAACATATAAAGGAACATCCCAAATAAAACCTAAAACCACGGTCTTGATTGATAACTATGGCACATTAAATGGTAGTTTAATGACAATTCATTTAAATAACTGCCTTATTAAATTAATGGTATCTGTTAAAGGCTCTAATAAAGTTGGAGCTAATGCTTTTTTCTTCCAATTTCCCTGGAGCAAGTAAGGTCTCACTATTTCAATGACAGTCTTAATGTTGAAGCTGATGTTGACGACATTTCTTCAACTTCTTCAAAGAGCTACCAAGGCACTCATCATCTTTACCTTACCTACTTTGTTTCAAACCTTGCACAAGGTCAAGTCCTTAGGACGATGTGAGTGTAGGAAATGAGAGATCCAAAAAGGCTTCACTGCAAAGTCAAGCATTTAGTAGGACACTAGGCCCAATTTAAAAGGTTTCAGAGCCAGGCGCAGTGGCTCACACCTGCAATCCCAGCACTTTTGGAAGGCTGAGGCAGGCGGATCACCTGAGGTCAGGAGTTCGAGACCAGCCTGGCCAACATGGTAAAACCCTGTCTCTACTAAAAATACAAAATTAGCTGGGCATGAGCCTGTAATCCCAGCTACTCGGGAGGCTGAGGCAGGAAGATCATTTAAACCTGGGAGGTGGAGGCTGCAGTGAGCCAAGAGCATGCCACTGCACTCCAGCCTGGGCAAAAACAGCAGGACTCCGTCTCAAAAAAAAAAAAAAATGTTGTTAGAATAGAGGTAAGACAGTGACCAGACCGTGAAACATGCTCAAGCACACACATGAGTGGAGTCAATGACAA